CATCTCATTTGCATAAGAACACTTTAATTTCCCCCAAACATCCCAAAACCACTTTCAGATATTCTCCCACACCCCTCATTACCATCTCATTTGCATGAACACCCCCCCAGCTCCAAATTGACCAATCAGGACACAGCCCCATCGACTCCACCAATCCTCATTGACTGCCTTGGCCTGGCCCCGCCCACTGCCGCCATCTTGTGGGTGGGAGCTCGGCCGCCATCTTGGGGCATGGCCTTTATTTTGTCAGCCATTTGGGGGGGCGTGGCCTCGGCGCCATTTTGGGGGCGTGGCCTGGAACTTGGCGGCCATCTTGGGGGCGTGGTCTCAGCATGATTTGGAGGCGTGGCCTGCGAGTTGTCGGCCATCTTGGGGGCGTGGTCTCAGCATGATTTGGGGGCGTGGTCTGCGAGTTGGCGGCCATCTTGGGGGCGTGGTCTCAGTATTATTTGGGGGCGTGGTCTGCGAGTTGTCGGCCATCTTGGGGGCGAGGTCTCAGCATGATTTAGGGGCGTGGCCTGGAACTTGGCGGCCATCTTGGGGGCGTGGTCTCAGCATCATTTGGGGGCGTGGCCTGCGAGTTGTCGGTCATCTTGGGGGCGTGGTCTCAGCATGATTTGGGGGCGTGGTCTGCGAATTGTCGGCCATCTTGGGGGCGTGGCCAGCTCAGGCGGCCACCTCGTAGTCCCCCATGGGGAAGGTGCCGGTGTCATCGCCGGGCCTCATCCCCCGCCAGCGGGAGCCTCCTGGATCGGGGCGAAAATCCAACATTTTGGGCAAAAAGTTCCATTTGGGGGGGAAAAGAGTGTTTTGGGGGCGGGAAAATGGATTAGGAGCTAACTGAGGAGTTTTGGGGAGAAAAAAGGAGATTTTGGAGCTGAATTGGGGATTTTTTTAGGTGGTTTGGAGACAAAGAGGGACGATTTTTGGGGGGAAAAGGGAAATTTGGAATTAAACTGTTGATTTTTAGGATAAAATAGAAGTTTTTGCGGTAAAATGAGGATTTTTGGTGGCAAAAATCAAAGTTTTGGGTTCAAAACAGAATTTGTAGCAAAACTTGGGGATTTGACGGGAAAAAAAGGCAATTTTGGGGTGATTTTGGGCTGAAAATTGGGAGCGTGGGAGTGGGAGTGTTCAGTTTGGGAGGAAAAAGGGGAATTTGGAGGGAAAATGGGAATTTGGAGGGAAAATGTGGGAATTTTGGTATTAAAACAAGCAATTTCAGGGCAGAAGGGCAAAGTTGGGCAAAAATCTGGACATTTTAGTCAAAAAATGAAAAAATTTGGGGTGAGTAGAGCCCAATTTTGGGGTGCAAAGGGTCATTTTAGGGCAATAGGGTTTTTTGGTGAGAAATTTGGGGAAATTTTGGGGAATTGGGGGTGCAACTTGGCAGTTCTGGCAGAGAAAGAACAAATCTAGAGTAAAAATGGGAAATTTGGTGCAAAATGGCCAATTTTTGGAGCAAAAGGGGGAAATTGGAGCA